TCATAGAAAGTCGAACAGTCCATCTACTTCGCAATGAAATAATAGTTTCCAGCTGTAAAAAATGCCAGAATCACTCACTTTCTCAGCTTTCTTTCCTTCACTTTCGTTACTTCGCCAGGCGATTTTGTACCAGGCAGAGAAAAATAGCCTAAACATGGGAATCAAGAGGTTATTTATCAAATTTGAGAGAATATAATTATTACCTGATTTCAATACAAATCAACAGGATGAAGGCGATGGTCCAGAGCGGTAATGACGGGTACGTTTGTACAACATTACGCCACAGCGATACTGGAGACTGTGACACTACCTGCAGTAACACCAGATATCTTCTTTTTCTGCCGTTTCAAGAAAAATCATTCGAAAGTAGAAAAAAAACAGAAGTAAGAAAGACAGAAAAGCCAAAGCATAAAATTTTAAATAACTTGTTCTCAAACGATGATATGCTCACCTCCGGGTCGCTAAAAATTCCTGCCGATTCTTTCATATAATTTGCATGAAAAGTATCGATCGATACGCAGCCTATGAACAGCATGATGAGCAGCAATAAAATCTGAAAAACAGGAATTCACAAAGTAAACGATAATCGATTAGTAAATGAACCTACCTTGATAGCTATGTTTGGCACAATGAGCACTGCAGTTCTAGCGGTAATCCCAACAGCAGCCATTGCTAGAAGAAATGCATCTAGCATCATAGCTGCTGACAGTGGACCTGCCGGAAGAAGAAACGACAATGCACCGATAAGTAGACAATTGGCTGGTACGGCATACTGTAGTGCGCGGGCTTCCTGAAAAGATATTATTAGGGTTACTGAAAAAGCAAATTGCTCATGCGTTAGGTAGTTGTTGTTATCCAGAGACTTGGAGTTAAGGACCCCAAATTCTTGAAGCTTATTAAGAAAGAGAGATTTGAGGTTGCTGAGATTTTTATGCGCTACGTAGGGGAGCATCCACCTAGAACCAGAAGCAAAGCGACTGCTTCGAGCGTTGCGTCCACAATACTTTCGGAGCGCGTTATAATGCAAAACCCAACATCTATACAGTAAAGCAGGCCTTTATGC